TCCATTTTTGTCCTGCTAATTTGGAAATTAAGAACTTTACTTTCTATTATTTTAAGAGTTATCCTAGACATTTTACTATTCATCTTATCAAGATCAAAATTAACACATATATTATCTCCCCCCCATACAAAGTCCTTAGCATACTTTAATTATAATCTTTTCAATTTATTTGCTATTGCTGTCACATCTTCCTTTTAAAAAAATATATAGGACAATATCATTACTGAAATTTGTATAATACTTGTTTTCATTTATTCACATATGAACAGCTTTCTCTGTTGTTTCTTGCATTTCACATAAGTCATATACAGGATCAATTGCCTCTTCCCTGAATAAATCCTGAGAACTGAGAACTGAGAGTTCTCTCAAATTTTGCTTACCAAAACTTATCTTCATCTTACCCTCTTTCCTGAGAGATATTTTCAGTGCTACAGATATTTACAGTTGATAATTTTCTTATATTGAAAACATCAGTGAGAATACATTTTGCTGTTAGCAAACTGAAAATATTTGAAATACTGAAATGATCATTGCTCTGTCTTCTAGTTTTGTTTCATTCTAACTAAGAAGTCAACTGTCAGTTTAACTGTTGCATCTTTGAAGATAATCTGCCATTCTTTTCTACTTTTATGATTTTATTTTTAGAACTGGTGTTCAACAATTTTCCTATGTTGTGCATATATGTAAATTTTTTACTTATCCTGAGATTTGTTGAGTTTCTAACATCAGTGGGTGACTTTCATCAGTTCTGAAAAGGTCTCAGCCATTACTTTTTCAAATACTGCCTCTGTCCATTCTCTCTTTTCTTCTGGAACTCCAAATAAACACTCATTCTGGTCCCCATGTTTCTTGACTTCTCTTCAATATTTTTCATTTCTTTTTCTCTCAGGATTACCTTCTGGGTAATTTCTTCTTATTCATTTTCCATTCACTAATTCTGTCTTCTATTGTATCTAATCTGCTTTTTTTTTTTTTAGTTGGAGTCTCACTCTGTCACCCAGGTTGGAGTGCAGTGGCACGCTCACAGCCACCCCAGTGTCAACCTGCTGGGCTCAGGTGATCCTTCCACCTCAGCTTTCCAAGTAGCCAGAACTACAGGCACGTACTACCACACCTGGCTAATTTTTTTAATCTATTTTAGAGATGAGGTCTTGCCAAGTTGCCCGGGCTGGTCTTGAACCCGTGGGCTCAGGCAATCCACTCACCTCGGCCTTCCAAAGTGCTGTGATTATAGGTTGAGCCATCAAACCCGGCCCTAATGTGCTTTCAGTACATACATTAAATTTAAAATTTTTTTTACTGAACTAAGATATGTACTGAATTTTAAAAAGTTATAATTATTCTATTTTATTTGTTGGGATTCTTTTGGTTTTTGTCAAGTCTGCTTATTTCCAAGCCTCTCATTTATTTTCAACATATATTAAACATATTTATTTTAAATCATGTGCTTGATTATTCCAATAAATAAAGATGTTTGACTAGCTGATTCTACTATCAGTTGTTTCTGCTAGTTCTAACTAATTGTGCTCTTCTATGTTTGGTAATCTTTTTATACTGTAAGATGCTTTTTAAGGTAAAGAAAGATAATCGAGCCAGGCTCGGTGGCTCAGCCTGTAATCCCACGCCTTGGGAGGCTGAGGTGAGTGGATTGCCTGAGCCCGCAGGTTCGAGACCCACCTGGGCAACTTGGCAAGACCTCATCTCTAAAATAAAAGTCAGAAAGTTAGCCGGGCATGGTAGCACGTGCCTGTAGTTCCAGCTACTTGGAAGGCTGAGGCGGAAGGATCGCCGGAGCCCAGCAGTTTGAGGCTGCGGTGGCCGGGGCGGCCACTGCACTCCAATCTGAGCGACAGAGTGAGACTCCAACTAAAAAAAAAAAAAGAATGAAAATCAGTTCTTCAAGGATTGATTTGTATTTGTTTCTGTCAACAATATGGGAATATTAACATCATTTCTGTCAACAACCTGGTAATTTTACATTTTAGCTTTTTTCTCCAGAGAGTCAGAAAGTGTGAATTCAGGATGCAAACCCATATAATGTTTATGACTGGAGGTTTTATTTTCTTTTTTATTCAGTACCACTTCTTGTTCTTGTATGCTCTTTCCTTCTATTATACCTGCACTTTCTACCTAAAAAGTATTGTTTAGCTTGCTACAGGGCACATCAGACTAGGAATATTTCTAACTTCTGGCTAAAGTCTGCAGAGCAACTCCGGCTTAGAAGCACTCCTTTCTGAAACTTTGCTGCTCAGGGGCACTGAACACCTATGAGGTAAAATATACCATGCCTTTCACAAATTCAATATGTTGGCAATGGAATATCATTTTTGGACAATTTCAACAATGTTAAAGTTCTATGGATTTAAAATCACAAAAATCACTCTTAACAATTAGCAATGGAACAGATTTCCTTATAAGCCTTTTAGTCACTATGTAAGACATGCATTTCTGGCTGTCTACCTTACTGTCATATGGCTGAATGGTATTTCCTGACACCTCTTATAATTGAGTAAAACAATGAAACTTGTTCTGGCTGATAAAGTATGCCAGAAGTGATGTGTGTTACTTCTGGGACAGATCATTTCAATTTAAGTTTAAGACTCTCCATAGCTTTCTTTTCCCTCTGGTATGACAACCAACAGGACTCAAGATGGTGGCTGTTCAATCAGCTTGAGTGCCTAAGTGACTATGATAAGCAAAGCCCTTTTTGCCAATCTATAATAATTACATACAACAAGTGAGAAATAATCCTTTGTTTTTTGTGTGTGTTTTTTTGGTTTTGTTTTGAGTTGGAGTCTCACTCAGTCGCCCAGACTGGAGTGCAGTGGCCACTCCCAGTCACCGCAGCCTCGACCTGCTGGGCTCCGGCAATCCTTCCGCTCAGCCTTCCAAGTAGCTGGAACTACAGGCGCACACTACCACGCCCGGCTCATTTTTATTTATTGTAGAGATGAGGTCTCGCCAAGTTGCCCAGGCGAGTCTCGAACCCGTGGGCTCAGGCAATCCACTCACCTCAGCCTCCCAAAGCGCAGGATTACAGGCTGAGCCACCGAGCCCAGCTATAATCCTTTGTTTTTGAAGCCACTAAATTATTAGGGTTGGTAGTTACTGCAGCCAAACCTAGACAATCCTGACTTATATTTAAAAAGTAATTCATTATCCAATCAATAACAGATGGAAACTATATATATCTTCAAGTGGCACTAGAGTGATTCATGAGGGAATCTGTCAGTTGCTCTTCCCCTAAGCATATTAGTCTGAAAAAGTTTAGAAGAATAAGAATAAGAATAAATCATGATTCAGTTTTCCAAACATTTATACATTTCAAGTCAAGAGTAAACCTAATTCCAAAGATGGGTGTTCTGGTTATCAACTAATGCACAACATATAATCTTGACCAAAATTGAAGGATTAAACAAACTATCTCTCATGATTCTATGAGTTGACAACTGGGCATTTTTTGTTTGGGTTCTTCTATGTGGATGCTGTTAACTGGCAGCTAAATCAGGAGTCAACTAAAGTTCAAATGAGGTGAATATCTGAGAGGGCTCATTCGAGTGGCTGGCAGTTGATGCTAGCTGTTGGGTGGAAATTCAGCCGGAGCTAGTTCTTCCAATTGTTTAGGCCTCTTACAAGGGAGCATCCCAAGTATGAGTAGCAAGAGGTAGAAGCTTCCAGGTCATTTAAAGGCGGTTCCCTTGATTGGAACAGTATTATTTCTGCAACATTCTACGGTCAAAGCAAAAATCATAGTGCCTGTCCAGATTCAAGAATTTGGCAGTAATCCACTCTACCTCTTGAATGGCATGGTCACATTGCAGAAGAATATGTAATAGAGATACCTTGTGGTCATTGCTGGGAAATACAATCAGATACAATGGGTTTAATTTAAATGTTTATATCTTAAGTAGTCAGATGCTAAAATTATGAGATAAAATATATTGGATTGCTTACATGATATCTTTTGGACTAAAATGTACAATACCACATATTTTTTAAAAGTAGACTCCCTCCAATTTTAAAGTATTTCTTGATGTAAAGTAGTCCAGAAAGTAGCACCTAATATACTATTTTGCCTATATATTACCTTAGTGTATAAACTTTTCAAGCCTACTTACATCTCTTTTATGACTAACTTCAGCTCTATTTTCACAAGTATCTATGATGCCATACAGTATGAATTTATAAATATTAATTAAAGAGAGTTAATAAACTCAATATTGACTTATTTTCACAAAATTTCAAAAAAAATTGAAGACAAAAACAAATGAATGAAAGTAATCTTCAGTGCATAGCACTGCTTCACACAGGCAACTTTTTCTTTTTTTTTCTCTTATTTCCTAATCTCAAATTAATTGCCTGCTTATTTGTCTATCTCTCCAAATTGATTCAAATCTCTATGAAATTAGGGAAAATGTGGCTTATGTTCACTACTGTATTCTTTAAGCTTAGCACAATGCCTAGCACATAGTAGACACTAAATAGTTGACCTTGGATATTAACCATATGTCCTATATTTACATTTACAGTATTGCATAAGTTGTTTCTTTTCTTTCACATTCAAAATTTACTTTGATTGTGGGTCTACCTTAGTAGTTTTTTTTTTTTTTTTTTTTGAGTTGGAGTCTCACTCTGTCACCCAGACTGGAGTGCAGTGGCCGCTCCCAGCCACCGCAGCCTCGACCTGCTGGGCTCCGGTGATCCTTCTGCCTCAGCCTTCCAAGTAGCGGGAACTACAGGCACGTGCTACCATGCCCAGCTATACCTTATTAGTTTAGAGAAGCCAAGGTAAATAATGATGACAGTAACAAAAACAAATTCAGACTTCTTATTAATATCCTTTCAAAAATGACTAATTCATTTAATAACAAAAACTATATTAGAGAGATAAGTCTAAACATAAAACAGTATCTGGAAAAATATCTAGAACTAAAGGATATATTAGTGGAATAATTACTTTACACATTACACTTTTCTTTTCAAAAGCATGTTTTGGTTACCTGCATGAGAAGTAGAGGACGCCAATGATAAGTGTTACTAGAAGAACAGCCAAGGCCACGAAAACTGCAAACAGGTTACTTTTAGTTTGGATGCTGGAGCTTGGGAGAAAAACTTCTTCACAACGAGCTCCCGTATAATTTTCAATGCACCTATGGAATAAGATTTTAGATAAAGAATCGCACTTTCGATTTGATTAGCTAATTTGGAGAGAAAAAAAAAGACTTTCAGTTGGTACAAAGAAAAAAGACTAATTTACAGACTGTGAACACAGAATAGATATGCCTTCTTATAATGCTCAGAGCTACACTAAAACTAAAATGCAGTCTAATTTTTGTTACTACCTTCTTTTTTAACTCCAGAGAAATTATAGGACTATTCAATCCTCTTATTGTCTAGATTTTCAATGATGTAATTATCCATACTTAACTCAAATTCATCTAAAGTTTATTTATTAGTATAGGGGAGAATCTAAATGCATAATTCCTTAAACTTAACTGGTTATTCAAACCCCATTTATTAAATAATCAGTGCCTTACTCACTGCTTAACAGTGTCTCCTTTAACATATGTCAAATTTATATTAGTAACAGCATTTCTTTCTATTCTTCTGCAGTGATCTATATATCTAGTCTTGGGTCTTTACCACACTGCTTCAATACTGTTACTTTATAATATGGTTTTAATATCTGGTAGTTCTACTCTCTACCTTACTACTTTTTTTTCTAGAATTTTTTTTAACCTCATTTGCCAACCAAATATTTTAAAGCCATTACTTTTAGCTCTCTAAAACTATATGACAAAGAACCATAATTTTGGGGATTACTAATTAATTCCCTTTTCCCTGTTAATATGTTAAAAGGATTATAAAATACAGAGATTGACATAAATTAGCAAGAACGACACACTGCTTGGTACCAGATTAATTTCATCATTTTATAGATGCATTTAAAATACAAGTAATATTTTAATATAAGTGAATGTTTACCTATAAAGCAACTTAAGAAGTTATGGGGTCGACTTGGAGAAAACTATACTCAGCAACAATTCTGTATTAAGTGTGTGTGTAAACTGGTTTTACCAAACTGGCTGGTTTTAAGCTGACTTTACCAAAAATAAAAAGCTTAATTCTACTAAATTAATTCTTCTTACCTCTTTCCAGCTTAGGTAGGTATCTAGAAATTTTATCTCCATTTCTCCTACCTTAGACAAATAAGAATACAGGTCTAGAAAGTTAACATGTGAACTAATTACTAGCTTTCACAACTAATGTGATAGACTAATAAAGCAGTATACACATAAATAAGAAGAAAGAACATCAAGATATAGCATGAGGAATCCGGTTCAGTTAAATGAGTAGACAAAAGATGTTTTACAAACTAAGCCCTGCTCAGTGGGAAGCAGTGGTGTGACTGGTAACAGTTTCCATTGGGGTGTCAGTTCAAGCAAAGCAGCAGTCTAGATTCTCTCCAGCTACCAGGGGATTGAGGAGACATAGAAAGGGAAAGCAAGGATAGGATATGAAATGCAAGTAAAAATATTTTGGGAAAATCACAATTGCCTAAGGTCTAAATGTAAAATACCAATCTTTCCATAGTTTAAGTCAGTTAAGCTGAGAAGAAAAAAAGATTAGGTGAAAATAATCCGTTTCTTTCTCCTCTAGCTCCAACTCCCACTTCCCAAAAAGGGATGAACACACAGCCTCCAACAGAAAGTCACCACAGAGACTGCCCTCACATCAGTCCACGCGCCATCACAAACCTCAGAAGGAAAGGGCAACATCCTATACGGTACAAAGGCGGGGTGCTAAAGCTAGTCATCACAAGTATCTTTAAAATAATAAGGATAAAATAAACACTCCTCTATAATTTATCTGGCTGGGTTTATCCTTTAAAACAAAAACAAGCAACAATTATTTGTGATTGCTGAAAGTTTTTTAGAGAAAAGTTTTAGCCATTAAAGAAATTCCTATTCAGTTTTAAAATAACTCTCAAGCTTTCAAATAATGTTAAAAATGGGGCTCAGTTTCCATTCTAGAAAAAATAACCAAAATTCGAAATAAATTCTGAGATGAGATAGTATACTTCTTTTATGAGAAAGATTTATTTTTTAAAAAAAACTATACACTCATTACTTAGATTTCTTTCTTTCTTTCTTTCTTTTTTTTTTTTTTTGAGTTGGAGTCTTACTCTGTCGCCCAGGCTGGAATGCAGTGACCATGCTCATGGCTTCCACAGTCTCAAACATGCTGGGCTCAGGCAATCCTTCCACCTCAGCTTTCCACAGATGGAACCACATATACCACCACACCTGGCTGATTTTTTGATTTACTGTAAAGACAAGGTCTCATCAAGTTGCCCAGGCTGTTCTCGAATCCCTGGGCTCAGGCAATCCTCTTACCGCCAGCTCTGGATTACAGGTGTAAGCCACAGCGCCTGGCTCAGATTTCTTGTCTAAGTCTAGGTAAGCTTGAACATCAAAGAAAAAAAGACAAACTAACCAATATGACCAACCATAAATGTTTTAACCTGGACAATAAATATTCTGAGTTGGAAGGAGTCAAAGAAGTGATATAAATATAAGCTTAGTGGTCAGATCAGCATTTAAGCAAACAGAAAAAGGCACATAAGGGAAATCAGTCAGCAGTAGGGTGTTCAGTCATTCTACAGCTGGGGTAAAGCAAATGCATATTCTTGCGGGAAGGTAAAAATCTGATGATAACTTCAAGCAAAGCAAAGTCAAGAAAAAAATCTTATTACCATTCAACCAGTCAAGTCAGAATCTAGAGAAAGACTAAGACAAATTTAAATGTTACGTTATTATCCAAGAAGTAGAACTGGATAGCCCAAAAATGAATTTTAAATTTTCAGGTATTTATCATACACAAAAGTAAACACTGCCTACCAATGACTGTGTACAAAGACTCTAATTCTAAAACTCTATCTCATTTATGAAAATTTATGAGCTCAGTGATGACACAAATATCAAGCAAATATAATTAATCAACTCTTTTAAAGATAATTAAGGGTGAATTAAGTAGATACAGAAAGACAACTGGTAGTCCTAGCACAGCATTTAAGCAAAAGACAGAGAGATCAAGTGTTGCATCGGGTTTTACACAGAACCAAGGCCCTTTCAGTTCTTATGTGTAAGTAACTCTCTTGCTAAATTGCTTCTGGACCTTACTTATGCACAGACTGCCAAGTAGCAAACAGCTGTGCCACCTAATGAGGTGAATACCAAGCACTGAGGGATCATGCACATTTTCCTGGAATGAAGATTAATGCTGGAACAAATATAAATGCTTCACCAAGTAAGAAATTCCACATTGGTTTTGTCTGACCCTAAACCCAGAAGCTGTGTTTAGTGCACGGGACACGGAATCAATTCATTAGATTCTACAGCATTCAAGGTAAGTTGTTACAACATTAGAGACCTTTAGCATGAATAAAATAACCCAGTTTTAAACAGAGTGTCATTTAGCTTCAAGAAAGAATATTGGACTGTGAGCTGGAAAAAACTGGCTTCTTGACCTCATTCTCATGCTTGTGAGCTGTGTGCTCTTGGGCAAGTCACTTAAGACTCTGCAAAATCACAATAGCACCACTTGCTTTTACTATTTCACAGGGCTATCATCAGAATCAAGTAAGAAAGTCCAAAAAATGCTTTGAATGTTGAAACACATTATACAATTAAAATTGAAATAGAAATCACTTTACAAAGGCCATGTTTACATGAAAATATTGGACTACAGGGAATAAAATGCCTGAGAAAAATTATAACTGGAAAGGTTAAAAGCATGGTGATTAATACATGTGCTATTATTATTAACTATTTCTCAGAAACAAGAAATAAAGTTTATATGCTAAAAAGCGTTCACAAACTAAAGGAAGACTTAACGTCGGTGCCACTTCATTTAGGGTGACCTATCTTGTAAAGAAAAAGTTGATTTCCACTTGATACTTTCTGGCAATCAAAATTCAACCTGAAATTCACAACAAATGGAAAAAACAAATAAAAAATAAAATGAAATAAAACTATCGGAAGTGTTCATGAAAACAAACTGACAGCATGGGATTGGATCCCTTTAATAGCCCACGGCTACATAACAACATACAAACATGGCCAGAATCCTGTGAAACTCCGACCAGATTTCTATAAACCAACAGTCAAGGAAGAGATTGGCTCAGGACTTGTTTCTCTTATTAGCCAGCACTATAAATGCAACCTCATTAAGCATGTATTGGATTCTTAATAGTATCTAGAGACATTTAGCTAATAATCAATCTTACAAAAATTATGTTGTTTAATGTCATATTCATATGACATTAGCACCACTAAAAACTGATATTATTAGTACTTCAAATGTATTAATCTAAGTCCAGTAAAAAAGCAAAATGTCAAATTCTTTCAAGATTGACTATTACTCAGATAATTCACATGCTGAAATGGGCTATATATTGTATCTGAATATAAATGACAAAACAGTCTGCATAGAGAATAATCTATATTTGTCATTAGGTAGGGTATTGTTTATAGTTTCACTATGAAACACTACAATTTTTTAGCTTAAGTAAATCACTGTGAGAATTAGAAATATTTTATTTACTAAAATTAGCTAAAATGCAGTGAATGAAAAAGCATGTCAACTGATGAGAGTAAACAATGGAAGTGTTCAAACACGACCTTCATTACTAAGTGCGTACATTAGCCAGACTTCTCCAGTGAAAATTTTTTTGGGAAAAACACCCATAGAAAGCTGCTTGGTTCACCAGAATACTAGGACAAAATTCTGGGATTTGTTGATTTTCTCAAAATTTCTTCTTTCTCCATAGTAACAAAATAAGTGATTCAAGCCTGTTCTCCCTATTTTGCCTACTTCAAAAAATGATCAGGGAAGAAATCGAAAAGTGCTCTTAAACATAAAGTCTAGTGCTGGGCATGGTGGCTTGTGCCTGGAATCTCAGCTACCTGGGAAGCTGAGACAGGAGGATCACTTGAGGCTAGAAGTTTGAGATAAGCCTGGGCAACATAGCAAGACCCTTGTCTCAAATAAATAAATAAATAGTCTATTATATTTTTTTAAAAGATCAGAAAAAAAAATAAAACTACAACAAAAAGGCCATGTTTTTCATAGTTTATCATATTATGAT